CCCATCAGATGTCAAGGAAATAAGCTGCTATCTTATTTTTAAATGACATCTGAAGGCGGCCCTGTTTAGGGAAGTTTTTAATATTTAATGCTGAATTGTTTTTAACACTCGATTGGGAGCCACCCAGAGTGGCTGGGGAAACTCAGTCAGGTGGGCAGAGTATAAATAATTATGATTATTATGATTATTACTATTATTATACAGTGCTTGCACATGCATACAGCCACCAGTGTGTGTGTGTGTGTCTGTCTGTGTGTGTGTGTGTGTGTGTGTGTGTGTGTGTTGGGAACATACCTTACTTAATTCATTTTCCTTCTGCTGAGGACAGACATCTAGCTCCATGCACCAGAAGGCACCAAGTAGTTCTGGAGAGGAAGTAGAAAGGAAAGGAGGATAAACGTGGTCCTTAAGCATTAGCAAACACTTATTCTGGACCCTTCTGAGGACTCTGTGACCACAAGTGTGAAGGGAAGGGAAGACTTGAAGGGGAAATGGAAGGGAAATGGAAAATTTAAAAGACACATTGTGGTCGTATCCAGCACTGCATAAGTTGACTTCCATCTGCACAACAGAATATCCCCTTCCTCTCCTCCCGCTTCTGCTTCCTAAAATCTGCTCTGGTTAGGATATTTAAGCATTGTTGCTGGGTCAGGGTGGATAAGATACTGTGCAATTGCTGCTACTAGGGCCATATCTGCTTTAGAAAGTTATACTGAGTTTATATCATCTTAGCATCCCCTAAGAAATCCCAGGAATAATAGTTTGGTGAGATACTGAGAACACATGACAATATGTACCCGTCTTCCAATTCCAAAGAATCGCGGTTATACTGTATCAGGTAAGTCCATAATGTAGAGATTCTGTTATATTCTGTGGCAAGATGGTGTAGGAAAACTTTCCCACTAATGTCTTCTCCTTATTTTTACTTCTGGCTTGGGAAAAAATGGGCTATATATTCACTGATTCGTTTTATTTTATTGCCCCCTGGGTTCCTTGCGAAGTATGCAAATAAGCCTGTATCCAGCGGAGCTTTCATTCTGGAATTTCCCTAGTAGATGGACCGAGATCCGGAAATGTCTTTGGTAAGTTAGCTGAAAATCCATCCACACAGTGAAGTTCATAGAAAAATCCCCGCTCCCTCCACGGTTTTAATGATTTTGGCTTGTATTCAGCACTTTAAAACTTCTCTGGGTCTCTTTGTTTACAGCTGCTTGTTCCTAATGTTCAGTCAATATATTTTAGTACTAGTGTAGGGCAGTCTTCCGAGCTGAAAAACGTCACCAACAAGAAAACATGAGCTGGTCTGCCTTCCAGAGCAAGGATGTGATCGTCGCCACTTTGTTTTCGTTTTTAATCAAAGTTTCATCTCCGGAATCGAAAGAAAGCAAATGATGTAGGTACTAAAAAGCTGGATATAATCCTTCACATTTCAAAATCTAACAAAGCTGTCCAAAAAAGGACAAACTGGTTTTAGGTCAGCAGGTATCAGAAGTACAACTATATCTGGTTGCAAAACAGTGCCAGTTCCATAGGTATAGATGGAGGATGTAACTGTTGTTATCTGAATTTCTACGATGGAACAAATGACCTCAGTACAGATGCTCCAAAAGTACAGCTGTCCAACAAATGCTACGTAGACTAGTTTTTGTTCCAAAGAGGAAATCCTTTAAAGATAAAAGTCATGGTGATGGCAAGATCTGAAGGTCATCATGACATCTCTTGTTTCGCGGAGTAAACATTGGAGGAGGTCCAGGCCAGGTCATTAATCTGTTTTGCTATTTCTTTCTCTAGTGGGCATCAATACTTGACGCTTCAGAGAAAAGGTATACCTATACCAAATACTTTAATAGCCAGGCATATTCCCTAGGAAAGCACTGGAAACTGCAGTCCTATGATGGGGAATTGGGAGCTCTAACAAAGAATCCTCAGGTGCTTCATGGAACTACAATTCCCAGCATTCTTTGAGGGAAACCACAACAGTTAAAAGTGGGAGGAGATGTGGAAGGTGTCTGTAGAATTTGTACTGTTAAAACGGAAAGGGATCAAACCAGCGCAGGAGGTGTTGAAATTTTGGGAGGTTGGATACTTACAATGGAATGGTCTTGGGGGTGGAGTGCACATTTTTATTCTTATTTATTTATTCTTATTACTTTGCCCCCCCCAAAAAAGGGGGACAGAAACACTACAGTCATACCTCAGGTTAAATATGCTTCAGGTTGAGCGCTTTCAGGTTGCGCTCTGCGGCAACCCAGAAGTAATGGAATGCATTACCTCCAGGTATTGCCACTCGCGCATGCGCAGACGGTCAAAGTGACGTCACGCGCATGCACAGGAGCGGCAAATCGCAACCTGTGCACGCGCAGATGCGCAGGCACAGGTTACGTTCGCTTCAGGATGCAAACGGGGATCCAGAACAGATCCCGTTCGTATCCAAAGGTACCACTGTATTGTATAAGTGTGGGTATTCCTAAACAGAGTATAAAAATCCTTCAGAGGTTCATGAAAGAATATTGATTGATTTTATATATTTATATCCCACCTGTCCTCCAGCTCAAGGTGGCATATATCATTCTCCTCCTCATTCTATCGTCACAACAGCCCGTGAGGCGGGTTAGGCTGAAAAATGGAGACTGGCCCAAAATTATCTTGTGAGCTCCATGGCTGAGTGGATATTTGAATCTGGATCTCCCCACTTCTAGAGCTCCTCCCTAGTTCCATCCATCACATGATCTCTAGACACAGGGTCTGAGAGGTCCCACCATTTCCCCGGGAAACCCCACTGTTTACTACTGAATAGGAACAAACATCAATTGGGTTTTCTGCAGATAGATTCAGCAGTAAATAGTGGGTTCCCCCGCGGAAAAGGCAGGACAAAATAAAAACCTATAATAATAATAATAAATTTTATTTATATCCCGCCCTCCCCAGCCGAAGCCAGGCTCAGGGCGGCTAACAACAATAAAACAGTACAAAAGTACAGCACAAACAACACTCTAAAATCATTCATTATAAAATTAATTAATTCAAGCCACTGGCAACCATTGGGCCAGAGCCCAATGGTCTTCGAAGGATTTAGCTTCAACCGGCTCCCACGTAACCATCCAGCCACAGCTTCCAAACATCTGGTCAGTGTGTCTGGGGCCGAGTCAGGATGGCCATCCATCAACAGATAGAGTTGGGTGTCATCAGCATACTGATGGCAACCCAGCCCAAAACTCCGGACAAGCTGGGCAAGGGGGCGCATAAAGATGTTGAAAAGCATCGGGGAGAGTATCGCACCCTGAGGTACTCCACACACCAAGGAGTGGCGCGATGACAATTCCCCCCCAAGCGCCACCCTCTGTCCCCGACCAGAGAGAAACGAGCGCAGCCATTGAAGGACTGTGCCCTGGATCCCCACGTCGGCAAGGCGGTGGTCCAGAAGTTCGTGATCGACCATGTCGAAAGCTGCTGACAGATCTAGAAGAATCAGCAGCCCCGACCCACCTCGATCCAGCTGTCTACGAAGATCATCTGTTAGGGCAACCAGAGCCGTCTCGGTCCCATGACCAGCGCGGAAGCCGGACTGGAATGGATCCAGAGCCGATGTTTCATCCAGAAACCCACCAAGCTGTTCAGCAACCGCTCTCTCAATCACCTTACCCAGGAACGGAAGATTCGAAACTGGGCGGTAATTGGATAGATCTAAAGGATCTAATGATGTTTTCTTTAAGAGCGGGCGCACCACTGCCTCCTTCAGTTCCCCTGGGAATGTCCCCGTGCCAAGGGACAAATTGATGATATCCCCCAGGAGGGCCCACACCTCGTCTGGACACGCTCTAATCAGCCAAGACGGGCACAGGTCGAGAGGACAGGTGGTGGGCTTTCTAGCTCGGAGGAGTCTGTCCACATCGGCTGGGGATATCTGGTTGAAGTGGTCCAATACTGGACCCGAGGACAGTTGAGGGGCCTCCAGTTCCTTTATTGTATCCAAATTGGCAGGGAGGTCATGGCTGAGCAACAAGACCTTCTCCGCAAAAAAGCTCGCAAATGCCTCACAGCTGTGTGTCAAATTGTTATTTAAATTTGGCTGTCCCTCAAGGGACGTTAAAGACCTGATTATACTAAATAATTGTGCCGGGCGAGAGCTAGTGGATGCAATGGAGGCCGAGAAGTAAGACTTCTTAGCAGCCTTCACCGCCATCTCGTAGGTTTTCATAAAAGCCCTATAAGATGTTCTTGAGGCTCCGTCACGGGCACCCCGCCATACTCGCTCTAGCCGTCTGAGGTCCCGCTTCATTTTCCGGAGCTCCTCGGTAAACCAGGGAGCCCAGTTTCTGTGGGGTCGCAGAAGGCGCTTAGGTGCGATTTCATCAATGGCTGCCAGGAGCTGGATATTCCAGCCCTCAACAAGCTCAGTCAATGAGTCGCCAGGGGGAGCAAGGTCCCGCAAGGCTTGGCGTAATCTATCAGGGTCCATCAGCCTCTGCGGGCGAGCCCAAATCGGCTCGCCACCTAAGCAGGGTGGGGGTGGAAAGTCAATCCTGACTTTCAGAGCGTAGTGATCAGACCATGGCACCTTCATCGAAGGAGACATGATCACATCTATACCTACGCCAAAGATCAAATCCAGCGTGTGGCCTGCTTGATGTGTGGGGCCATGCCTGGAAACTAGGGCCGGATTTAGGTTTGAGGAGGCCCTAAGCTACTGAAGGTAATGGGTCCCTTCATATGTCCAGCTGTCCTTTGTCAGCAACAAATTGTAGCTGTTTTTTTGTGTTGAATATATGCTATATGGTAATTTTGGACCTAATAGGATTCTAAAGCCATTTGCACATGTTGCCTTGCAACCAGTCCATGCAGAATGTAGGCACCCTGTATATAGAAATGAGGAAACCAGTGATATTTTAGGGAGCAGGCTAGTAGACGGGGCCCATTACTTGCATCATAAGAGCCTACACAACACAAAACACTGTTGCTGTATGTCAGTTTTATTTTATTTGTTTTTTATCTTATATTTTGGAAATGTACATCTAGGTTGTTGTTTTTCTTTAGTTTTATTTGGGGGGCCCCAAGAGAGTGGGGCCCTAAGCTATAGCTTGTTTAGCTTATACGTAAATCCGGCACTGCTGGAAACCATGGGGCAAACAGAAAATATCATGGGGCAAACAGAAGTGTGGGTTAGCCCCTAGTCTAACACTAAGTTTCACGGTGAAGTTTATTCCAACCTTCTGTTAACCAGTAGCAGCAGTCAATAGACTTCTTTATGAAAATTCTCACCCAAGATTGAAGTCATCCAGTATGTGTCGTGTGGTGAGCTCCATGAACAAGTGGGGATTCAAACCCTGGCCTCCCAAGTTCCAGTCCAACACAGTAAATGTCAGCCCTCACGAGTGGGTCCCGACATTTTGAGAATTTTGAACCTGATTTAAGAGTACTGGAGAACTCGAGCTTGCACACTATTTTGTGACATTCTGGTTGGCCCAATGTGGGTTTTGGAATTTGTCTCATAGGCCAACAAGGCTACCTTTAGTTTTTGACTGTCATGTGTTTGCAATACCATCAACAGAGATCCAGAATAAAGGGTAAAGGTAAAGGGACCCCTGATCATTACGTCCAGTCGTGGCCGACTCTGGGGGTGCGGCGCTCATCTTGCTTTATTGGCCGAGGGAGCCGGCGTACAGCTTCCAGGTCATGTGGCCAGCATGACAAAGCTGCTTCTGGCGAACCAGAGCAGCGCACGGAAACGCCGTTTACCTTCCTGCCGGAGGGATACCTATTTATCTACTTGCACTTTGATGTGCTTTCGAACTGCAAGGTTGGCAGGAGCAGGGACAGAGCAACGGGAGCTCACCCCGTCGCGGGGATTCGAACCGCCAACCTTCTTATCAGCAAGTCCTAGGCTCTGTGGTTTAACCCACAGCGCCACCCGCATCCCCAGCATAAAGGATACTAAGGTGCTTTTCTAATCACAGGAATTATTGAGGCAGCCTAAACTTCAAGGCCAAAGGACCCATTACTTTTTCCTATAGACATTAAGATGGCTATAGAGAAGAGATAAAACTGTTGAAGAGGCTCAAATAGGTGAAACACTGGACTGGTCAGACCTGGGTCTAATTCGCACAGCCAACAGATCTCTGTAGGGAAGAGCCATGGTTCAGTGACTGAGCCCATGATCTGGTCTGTAGGAGGAGGGTTCCAAGTTCAGTATCTGGAAAGTCAGTTAAGAGCATCTCAGGTAACAGAGTTGGGGAAGGAGGACTTTTGCCTGAAATTTTGGAGAGCTACTGCAAGTCAGAGTTGGCACTACTGGGCTTGACAAAACAAATATCTAAGTAAGCAGCAATTTATATTCATACATAAGAACTGTATATAAGAACTTATAAGACCTGTAACTTGTTGAATTAATGCTTGAGCTTGCTTTTTCCTCCTCCCTTCCATTCCTATTTCCTTGCGTGCCATGTCTTTTTAGATTGTGAACTTGGAAGGTAGGGACTGCCTCAGTACGGACTTTTGTAAGCCACTACTCTGAGAGTCTTTTTGGCAAAGAGGCAGGAATTGAATGCTATAAATAATAAATTATGATATATAATACATCTTTGCTAGCTTGCTAGCTACCAGGACGAATTGAGTTTTTCAGTTTGGACCTCCACACCAACCATTCCTGCCTTTTAGGCCCAACTTTTTGCCTCCAATCCATTGTGAACATCACAATGTTCTTTCTCTTCTCAATCACTTGTTAACTGGTGGTGACAGTTGTTAACATTCACAACAGGTGAAGGAGCTTGACAATCAATAGTTTCAATATTCTTAACCATAAAATTGAAAAATTCCTCATTGTCCAACTCCTTCATTGGCAGAATATGATGGTCATTCTGTACCATGTAAAATACAATTATTTCCAGAGTCAAAAAAACTCTCATGCACACACACAAATACATGTATGAAACTAGTAATTTTAATAATAGTTGAATTTCAGTTTTGTAAAAACTTCGCTTTATTTTCCCTCGACTGCGAAAGATTTCTCACCCTTCATTTCACTGTTGCTCCCTTCATTTAATCGTTGATAAATCACTAGAACATTGCTTTCCCCCCACAGCTGTTATACATTTCATGGTGAACACATTTCTGCCACACACCGAAAAGTTCATGCGGAAGAAAAGATCTTTTAAACAAATGTGTTCTAGGGAGGACCTCAGCCAACCACGCAACTCAGCCCTTCACTATACAACACCGTACATTTTGTGGCATAAAAGCGACGGTTTCAATGCAGCTGCTGTCTACCATTGTTCAGAATTCGAAGTTATACTTACAGAAGATGGCTCCAAGCTCCAACAGCTCTCAGTGTGGCGAGTTAGAAACCCCAACTGTTAAAACTCAAGGCTCAAGTGCGGCTCGGTCACCCACACATCCCCCCAAGCGTGAGTGTTCTCGGAATGTCAAAGGGCCAGAGCAGACAGCTTAGTCACAGTTTCAGACTTCCAGTTTCCTTGCGTTAATAGCTGCTAAATGCAGTCGCACTTCTAGGGCTCAGGAGGCGTTTCCTCACTCCCTTCCCTTGCCAAGTAAGTCCCTGTTTGTTGTAATCCAATGCTCGGCCTCCGTGATGTCAACCAAGCAGCTACTTGCTTGGCTCCCATCTCCCTGCACACAGGAGGGGATCTGTTTCCTTTGCTTTTGTTTAACTTCGCATTGTAACCTCATCTCCCAGCAGCTGTGCGCTGAAACATCCTTCCTTCTGTTTTCTGTTTGTCAAAAGAGGCTTCCTACTTTAATACACCCACTGGCTGTTGTTTAGGTGTAGGCAAACATTTATTCTCAAGGAAGCTATGGGCGAAATCAAGGCATATTGTGGGTGGAATGCTTCTCAGACATTTGCCAATTAAATAATTGCTCAGAGTCCTAGCAATGGGAAATGGGGTCCCAGTTCCCATATTACCTACCCATTTTACATTAAGACCCTTCAACTCATTTATACTTCGAAGGATAAATACCCACCATGCAATGGTCTGAGGGCCTCAGTGCCCTGGCTATATTTGAACATACTTCATATAAACATCAGTTTCATGCAAATACCTGATTGGACACCTGGAGAGCTTATATTAACTTATATGTTTACATTAAGATGCATGTACTGATGGTTACTGTTTCCATAATGTGAACTGATGGTGGGTGTTTTTGTTTTTGTTACTACAGTGGTACCTCGGGTTACATACGCTTCAGGTTACATACGCTTCAGGTTACATACGCTTCAGGTTACAGACTCCACTAACCCAGAAATATTACCTCGGGTTAAGAACTTTGGTTCAGGATGAGAACAGAAATCATGCTTCGGCGGCGTGGCAGCAGCGGGAGGCCTCATTAGCTAAAGTTGTGTTCAGGTTAAGAACAGTTTCAGGTTAAGAACAGACCTCCAGAACGAATTAAGTTCTTAACCCGAGATACCACTGTATTAATATTATTCACATCATTTTCTTTTTCGTTACTAGTTCCTCCCTTCTGTTCCTTTGTTAAATTTGCAACTCAAATTTTTTAAAAAATAAATCAATGCAGCAAATGTGGTGATGACATCTGATGTCACCTGAATTAGTGGAAATTCTTTCCAGTATCTGCCTAATTTACACTTCCTGAAACAATATGTGAACTGAAGCACAGCCCTCCTTCAAAATTTTCACTTCTCCGAATATTGCAGTGCTATTCTCCAAGCAAAACAAGTGTGCAAGAATGCCTATTTTAGGGGGAAGTATGCATTGAAAGAGCATAAAAATATAATGCATGTTAGGGAAAATATCTTGCAAAAAGTGTACATATTAGGGGAGATAATTATCCATTTTTGCGAGGACTTTTTCAATGCAATATTTTACAAAATTGCAGACTGATGCAGAAATATGATGAACTGAATATTAAAATGAGAAACTGAAATGGCCTGATTTGTACATCCCTAGTTCTCAGACTAGCCTATTGCCCCATGGACAGAAAGCTCCCTGCTCTCCAGAGTCATCTGCTTTTCTTTCCGGAGAAGTGGCTGCTTTTCCAGAGAAGTGGCTGCTTGAAACCTGTCATGAAATGGAAACTAAACCCTGGATTGCTTTCCAAGCCTAGCAAAGAGGCTGTGTTAAGTGCTGGCTGCACTCCAGCTGTATAATTGGCTTCATACACAGCTAGGATCCAAAGGTAGTGAGATATCCTTTTACACTTAATTGCTCTCAGCTTTTGTGGAGTTAGCTGGTATATTGTAGTGATTATGCGTTACAAAGATGTCGGCTGGCAACATCAACCGTGCTGTTTGGGAATCCCTGGCAGACGACTGCGGTGCCTGGCAACAGTCAGGGCATGCATCCACAGCAGTGACCAGAGGAGAAATGACCGCTGGGAGGAGCGCAGAGAGAAGAAAGGCCGTGGCGCACCTGTATCAGCAAAACCAGACGCTTTCATCTGCCCCAGCTGCAACAAAACATGTCTCTCCCTTATTGGTCTCTACAGCCACGGCAGGTGCTGTAACTCTCCAACGGTTTCACCCCCGAAAGGTGCGCTTCTCCATTGTCTCCCGAAACAGACAGATGCCAACTCAACTCAGTGTGAGCTGGGCGGTTGCTGTTTAAACTTTCCCCTGAGCAATAGGTGGCTTGAGGTAGGTTATCTGTTACAGTGGTATCTCGGGTTAAGTACTTAATTCATTCCGGAGGTCCGTACTTAACCTGACACTGTTCTTAACCTGAAGCACCACTTTAGCTAATGGGGCTTCCTGCTGCCGCTGTGCCACCACTGCATGATTTCTGTTCTCATCCTGCAAAGTTCTTAACTCGAGGTACTATTTCTAGGTTAGTGGAGTCTGTAACCTGAAGCGTATGTAACCTGAGGTACCACTGTATCTCAGCTGTGGGGGATGATAGTAATACTGGCTGCTTTGCGGAGCTGTTCTGTGAAGATCGTTACTGCTAAGTTGTGGGCAAACCTATCAGACGACACAGCAATTCTTCAAACAGCTCTTCTTTATTCAGATGCCAGAACAGAACTAAGCTGAGGGGCTCAGTCAGCCTGCTTATATAGAGCTCCAGTACAACAGTTACTGTAGCAACTTTCTAAAACTATCCAATCACTGAATGTCACTTTTCGATCCTTCATTTGCATAACTATCTACAGTATCCCCCTGCTGGCCCAGGGTGAGAACTTCAGTACATAACAGTTACATTATTATATTGTTACACACATCCTAATTCCCTGAGTGGTGAGCAGTGCTTAATTGGAATCCATTTCCTTTGGAATGAGGGAACAGGAAGCTATTGCATTTGGTAATTTGGTAATAGGTGTATTTATTTATAAATACAGGCAGCCCACCCCCCCACGCCCGTTAACATGGGGATTATGTTCCAAAGCACCGCGCACGTTGGTGAAATCATATTTTATTGAAACTCACTGAAAAATTCTGCAAACACCCCCTTCTGCCCCCACCCTGCTCCCATTCTGCCCTTTTAGTGACTTTTTCACTTGGGGAGTCATAAAGGTAAAGGGGACCCCTGACCATTTTATTTTTTTAATTTCTTTTTTTTTTAATGATATTTATTGAGAATTTAAAATTACAGGAAAAAAAAGAAGGAAGAAACAAGAGAAAAAGAAAGAAAAAGGTAGACAAAAATAGCAATTAAACAATACAAATCAATAAAAACCAAAGTCAAAGAGAGAAAACAAAACACACAATACATCAAATTCAAAAAGCAAAAATAAACAAAAAGTTTAAAAACAAATCCAATATTCCCAAATCCTTAACTTTCATTAACTTATTTCATCGACCTCCTCACACCTCCCTTTTTTGTATTCTAGTTATTAATTATCTCAGCAAATCCTTTCCATCTTTCACAATATTCTGTCATTAAATTACCTTAATCTATTTTAACCTTATCTTACCATAAAAACCCTAAAGCTTAAAACTTAAGTCTTATTTATACCTAATTCTTTTAACCATAACATATTCTTACATAATTCTTTTTAACATTTCTGCTAAAGCCAAATAATTTCATTCCAACATTTTTCTAATACTCATTAATTTTACTATAATTTTCTAAATAAATTTTTAAAACTTTCTTCCAATCTTCATCCATCGTCTCTTCTTCCTGGTCTCGGGTTTTGTCAGTCCTTTCTATCCCATCCATCTAGTCCATCAACCTGGTGACCTTCTATCCGAGGCTCTTAAGTCTTTTCCATGTCCCTTCCGCAGGTCTTCTTCATGTTTATACCTGTACTTTACTTTGTCTTCTGCTGGTCTTATTCTTAATTTCCTTCCTTTCTCTCGGAGAGACTCCAACTTGACAATATCTTTGTCCCTTCTCGGCAAGTCAGCCCATTTTCCATAGTCAACACTGAAATCCATGTGACATTTAAAGACATGTTTCAAAGTCCCTCCAAAGTTAAGGGCCCCCACAACTCCCAGCTCCCCCGGCCCAAAGCCAGACTCGAAAAGTCAAAACATCCCTGCATAGGGGGATCCATCCAGCCCCCCATCTCCAAGCCAAACAGAACTCCATCTCTCCAAATCTGACTTTTTCCAGGTTCATTCGTCAAATCCAACAACTCATGTTCCTGCTGGGCCGCAGGTCTCTCCATTTCTGCTACTTGAGGTTCAACAACAACCTCCTCCTTTATCTGATCTGTCAAAGCACATTCCTGGATTAATTCCTGAGTGGGTTCTATATAGGTATTCACTGTTTGTCCAAAGTTTCCGACTGCAACAGTCATCAAATCCATCTTCTCATGTAACTGTTCCAATTAAGCACTTGTCTTGCGAAAAGCAAGCACTAAAGCTTCTAAACACATTCTTGTTCAAGGTCAAAGTCTGGTCCCACGATCTTTAATCTTTACAGCTGCAAAGCTCCCCAGTTCGACTCTAATAACAGTTTCACAAGCTCCCTCTAGGGGAAACAATTTCTATTTGTATCCATCCTTTTGAAAGCAGATCTAGCAACAAAATTCCTTTCCTTTTTTGGATATTTTGTTCCTTTTAAATGCAAAAGGGAACAATGGAATCAATATGTTTTTCTTTTTTTGACTATCTGTCAAAAACGTTTGTCCACAGTCAATGAACTTCCCCAAAACGTCTGTCCTGACACCCCGCTCCCAGGTTCAAGACGGTGGAAATTTACCTTTCTTTACTCTCTCTTCTGCAGGTTTAGACAGTCTAAAAGGTTCCCCCTCTTCTCCTGCTTCCAAGGGGGGTTCAGTAATTTTAAATGATGAAAATTTAATCCTTTACAAACGACTTTCCAGACTCTAGCTTGCCATGTCTTTGCTTCAATCTATTTACAAAAGCGGAAGGCGGACTTCCTGTTTAGACCTTCCCGCTTCGGTGCCAAATTAAGAAATTTCATAGTCCAATTTTCCGTTCTACTCACGGGCAGTTGTTTAAAATCCAATTGTCCACAGGAAAAAGTCAGCGCTCTCCGGCAACAGCAATGCGGCTTCACTCCGTGAAAAGAGCAGTCGATTCGAAGCACCGCGCCATTCACCCCACGTCGCTCCGGATCCCCGAAACCGAGTTTCCCAATGAGTAGGGGAGGCGCGAAAGGTGCCTGCCGAATCCCACGTCCACAGGCTTCTCCTGCCTGTGGTTTTTAGTGGGTCTCTGTCTCGCCGCGGCGGTCCAGACCCTAATTCTCACGGAGCGGATTCCTCCCGATCAGAGGAAATCCGCCATTGCCAGAGGCGCTAACCCGGAAGTCTTGGGGGACCCCTGACCATTAGGTCCAGGCGTGA